TAAATTGAAGAAAACTACAAAGTTTTTATTCGTATTGAAATCCAGTCTTCCTTCAACTTGCAAGCGATCGTTCCATTCGCGCCTTGAATTGCCTGCCAATGGCTGCCAGACCCAGTAAAACAAACGTTCAATGTTCACGTCCATTGACAGTGGGCTTAAGGTAGTTACCTGCAAAAGCTGAGTTAAATAATTCACACATGTCTGCGGAATTAGTACATAGCCTACCTTTGTCTATGAGAAGGGAAATGCTGTGTAATGCGAAGTCAATATCTCTATATTTGTTGGTGTGTTCCATTGAATCACCAGTTATCCGATTTTCCCCACAAACTAAAGATAAAATGACAACAACCATGTTATTGAACCGTAAATCATGTAATTTAAATATTTAACTTAAATAATTCTTATCCATTCCCATACAACTTGTGTGTCCTATATTTGAATGAATAAATATGTACCTTATTATATTATCATTACTAACTGTACTTACTAATCGTATGTGTAATTTATCGAATTGATGATGCCTGTAAACTGGCGTCCCTCATGTAAAAAATGAGAATATACTATTATTATTATTTCCTGTTGTGTTGCACTCACTGACAATCTAGCAGATTTTTCCAACTTTGCACAGAAATGATTGTATATAAGTGAAAAGGCTGTTTTATACTACTGGAATTAACATTTATCAAGTGTATGTATAATCTCCATCGAACATGTAAAGCATATCTTGCTACTGGCTGTAAATGGTGATTAAATTATATGGTTCTATTTCTGTAACAATTTGATGATGCCTGTAAACTGGCGTCCCTCATGTACTGTACTATGAGAATAAATTTATTTATTTATTTATTTATTGCTTACCTTATTATACCACCTAATGTGAGAAAGAGATCGTTAACATCTATGATCGAAAACATACAACCTTTTCATGTATTCAACTCGTATTGGCCATGTTTCAGAGCCATAGAGAAGGACGGAGCGAACTGCTGAGCAGTACACACGTCCCTTGGTTGATAGCCGGATGTCACGCCTACGGCAGAGATGGTGTAAGTTAGCGAAAGCAGCCCGAGCTTTCTGGATCCATGCTGAGATTTCGTCGCCAATCAGTCCGTTGGTGCTGATACAAATTCTCAAATAGGTGAAGTGGTCAAAATGTTCTATCACTTCACTCCCTATCACTAAGCTAGGAGTTGACGTAGTCCAGTCAGTCCTGTAGCAGCATCTTACATTTTACAGGGGCGAATCGCATGACAAACAGACGAAGATTGCTGCTCAGCTCAAGGTATTCAGAAGACTCTGCATTTTGTCAGCATCCTCCCCTAACAGGACTATGTCATCTGCATATTCTAAGTCCATAAGACTATTCCCTGGTAACAAGTCGATTCCCAAGTCGTTAAGTTCAGTTAGGGATACTCCCATTAGCATATCTATGGTGAAGTTAAACAGAAATGGGGAAAGTGGACATCCTCGACGGACACCACTGGTTGTTATCAATTCAGATGACAATTTCCCATAAGCCCTTACACGGCTACGTGAGTTTGAGTAGAGTGCTTTGATTAGTGCAATGTACTTTCTTGGCACTCCCCTCACAGTCAAACACTGCCACAGTACCTTAGGATCCACAGAGTCGAAGGCCGCCTTCAAGTCAAGAAATATGGCGATTGTGGAACCTATCACTCACTTAAAAGCGCCAGAAAGCTGATAGAATTTCATACAAACAGAGACATCGGGGGTTCACTCACGACTGTTTTGAGAGCTATCGTCAAATAAAGTTTTGCAGGCAGTATCCTGAGGTCATAAGTATCCATTCAACATACAATATCAACCTGAGAAAGTGGGTTAAATCATTCACTGATGGCCATGCCAGCATCTTATGTCCCAGCTTGCGACAACGAATGGCTTTGCAAGTAGACTGGAAAAGAATTTAAACGGATTGTCATTTGGCAACTGGGCGGTTTCCATCGAATATTTGGAGATACTTCCCTAATGGAGACCTTCGTTATGGACTGTGCTCAGTCTGAAATTGCAGCAGTTAGGTCAACACGTCAGCGGTGATACTAGTGAGACCAAAGGAAAGAAGAGCAGTGCACCGAATATTGTTACGTCTTAGATTCAAATTTTGTTTCACAGTCACAGTGGGATCAGATATTGGTATCAGCCAGTACATACATTGGCGTCGGATGAATCAAAGTCACTTGAGGACGACAACATGTAATGCCCATATGTTGAATTTAGGGAATGTTGACAAAAACAGGGTTGAAAGCCCCTACAGACAAATGAAGCGATGCCCGTAAAGACCAGACATCCTACACATTATAATGTCGAGGGTGTACAGTTGCAGTTAACAAAGTTCCCCGGAAATATACCGGGAAGCTATGATTGTGTATGGTGTCAGATACTCACTCCGAAAAGCCATCGGTGACTGCAAAGGAAGATGGTGGAGTTCCTTAGAAATGGAACCACTGGATCACGTCTTTTTAAGGACAGTAGGAAACGAATGGAAGCTGGTCTGCCTCCATGTACATTCACTTGTAGGATGTTTCAGCCCTCTCTTTACGCTTGTCGATGCCCGCAACTGGTCCACTTCGTGAAGCCATGTTTTGTAGGCATGTTGCACTGCTACCGACTCACATTAACATTTGTAGTTAGTTGCGTTTTGAA